TTCATTTAACAAAATGAAACAAAAATACAGAAAAAAAATTAACGAACCTTTGCTTCAATTTGTAATTTTTTGCACTCGAAGAGCAATAATTCAGCGCTCGCTGAAGAATCACCTAAATGATCACTGGTACTCGATAGAGCTGATATTCTGTCATTGAGAATATCTTCGAGATTTCTGAGATCAGTGGCGAGTAGAGCTAACGCAAGACACTGTTCGAGTTGAGTTTTTCGACTTTTGAATGAAATTTCAATTAATCGTCTTCTATCGTGGAGCTCCTCGAGCCATGTTTCAACTTGTTGGATGGCTAAAAATTCGAAATGAAAATTGTTATTAGAATAAAGAGAGAAAATTGCAAATTTTAGTTAAAAGAAGGTTGAATAAAAATCAAAAGTAAATTTTGAAAGATGAGTTGAAAAATTAGAGGAAGAAAAAATAGCGAAAGATTAAAAGTTGAAAGAGAAGAAGAAATAGAAAATTTACGAGAATAAAAGATGGAGATAAACAGAAAAAGAACAAAAATAGAAGAAAAGAAAATAGAAGTAGAAGAAAAGAAAAAGGAAATATTAGAGAAATAGAAGAAACAGAAGAAAGATCATCAAATCTCCAAAGGAATAGAAAATCTTTTAATAAATATAAAATATAAAAAATTAAAAACTTAAGATATAAATAAAAATTTCATATTCACCATGATCGGCATCGTGTTTAATTCTATCAGGTCGGGAATCGAGAGTACCTTCATTTGAAATCTCTTTCAATCGATCGAGCAATATTTTCCCCTCCTGCAATGCACCCATCAGTGTTTCGAGCATCATTTTTCGTAAATCATGAATTTTACTCAGGAAATTTTTCACAGCTTCAATTTCAATTGGCAATAGTGTATCGTTGCAAGCCATCTCTAAATTTTTCATACTCTCCTTGCACTCGTCAGCCCGACTAGTAAATAAAAATATTTTTCTTTTTTATAATTGTCTCATTTCAATGGAACCAAACTTTGCTTTTCTATTTTTTTTCTCCTCAAGAACAAATAAAAAATAATTCATTCAATAAACAAATAGTTTAAAAGAGTTTCAATTTTAAAACAAAGAGTAAAATCTAAAATTCTTAAAAAAGTGTTTAATTTTTATAATAAAAAAAAAATATACCATTGAAAAAGAACATTTCGTTCGAGAATAATTTTCCGTCGTTCCAAAAGTGAATTGACATCCCTCCATGCGTTTGCAAGTGTATCAGCCATAGCTTTATAAACTTCCGCCTTTGGTTTTTGCGTTGAAATAAGTCGATCGGCTTGTCGTAGTAATTCTTCCACGGGACTTTGTTTAGTCTGAAAATAAATTGAAAAATTCTTCAATTTCTATCGAGTTGAGTAAAGATTCTAAATAATAATAGAGGAACGAAAATAAATTATTATTATTATTTTTATCATTATCATTGTTATGATTATTATTAATAAAAAGGCAAAAATAGGTAAACGACAAAAATTTGTTTACCTGTAAACGTAAAAGAACTTCGTTATGTGCGTTCGAAAGTTCCGTAGCCTCCTCAGGCGAAGAACCTAATTTCGTTAGTTCCGGCTGAATTTCCAGAACTTTTAGTCGCAACCATTCACCACTCTAAAAGCAGAAAAATCAATTTTTTATTAAGCAAATTATTGATTTAATTAATTACTTTAAGTTACTTATCTCGTTACTTAAAAATAATGACTGTATTTTAGTTATTGAATTTTTGCCATAATTTACAATTGAAAAAGAATTTACTCGATTTAAATAACCGATTACTTGTCTATTATCAAATAATTTCTATTATCAAATAATTTCTTGAATCGAATAATTTTAATCAATAAAATAGCATTTGCTTCGAATACTATAAAATTATTGGTTCAATTATAATTTAATTGATTCAAATAAAAATTATTTACTTCATGTAAATATTTATTTTAGACAAGTAATTGATTATTTTATAATCAAATACATTTTTTTCAGTGTAACAAAATAAAATAAAAAAAAAAATCGGTAGTACTAAAATTTTATAGTACTGATAGTAAAAAAATAAACCACTTCATTTACAATTATAATTTTTTTCGTACTGAAACTTCACCATTGTTGTCTGTAAATAATAATGAAAACTTATCAGCACTTGCAAAATTTAACAGGTGAAAATTTTCATTTCAGTGATAATTTACACTTGTAATTTAAAATTAGAATAATTTATAGTAAATATAAAATTATTATTATTATTCTAGTAAGTTATAATCGTAATAGCTACAACTAAAATTTGCAAGTAAATTTATAGCGTAAATAAACAATTAAAATAATTTACAGTCTAAATTAACAATTAAGATAATTTACAGTGTGAATTAATAATTATGTTGTAATTTATAGTAGAGAAAAAATGCGGTACTAGTAACATTGTTTTACAGCTAAAATTTTGCTATTAGAGAAAATTTATGGGAGAAATTAACTAAAGATATAAATTACAGTAGACATAGTAGTAGTTCTCAAAGTAACTTAAACACATGGGGTTTCATCTATTTTTTTTTTTTTATTTTTATTCTCCAATTTCTGGTCACATAATGTTAACCTACTTTACAAAAATACAAAACATAAGGAACTAGACTGAGAAAATTCATTCTCCCTCGTATATTTGCTTTCATACTGAAACTGACAATACTTATTTTAAGTGCTTTAACATGTGTTACACATTTGGAGTGTTCAAATTCTTGAACCCTTTTTTTTCTCTGCAAAACAAGAAAAAAGAAGATGATTTTCAATTCCAAAATGTAACATTTGTTTCTTTCGGAATTTTACGAAAAATACTTTGGTTTTTTTTCATTCAGTAATTTCTAGTGAAGATTTAATTAATATTAGTAGTGAATAATTAATTAAAATAATTAGTAGTGAATAATTAATTAAAATAATTAACAGTGTATAATTAATAATTAACTGTTAATAAATAATAATTGACAAATAATAAAAATGAATAACAAAAAATAAAATATTATGAAAATATTAAAGTAATAACTAAACAATACATAATTTTTTATCCATTATTATTATTATTTTGAAAATTAAATTTTAACAAATATTAATAAGAATTTTAAATTTTGGGATTAAAATAGTTATTCGTTGATGGTATTGAATGGTTTTTCAAATAATTAATTTGCAGGTGAATCTAAATTTTTCTTTAATCGTAAATTTACAACTATTGATAAGTAGTACAGTTTCTAAATTGAAACTTTCTGGAAATCGTTTAACTTCAGACTAGACACTTGCTAAAAGTCTAATTATAAAGAGCATGGAACATCAAGAATCAGAAGGGAAATGTAACAAGAGAACATCAATACCTCTCTTCAAGACATGTACAAAATTTTTTGATTAATTTACCGAAATTAAGAATTAAAAAATTTTTTTTTCACTAATTTAACTTTTTTCTAACTCTATTTTTTGAATAAAAAATTAAAAGTGAAGAATCATGGGAGAAAAATGATAAAATCAAAACAAATCCTCACGTTGTTACTATTTTTGTGTATATATCTTTGATTGTATATTTAATTCCTTTCGCAGAGTTTAGATCAACAGAAAAGGAAGAGTTCGTTTTCAATCAATCGGAAGGGATAAATTCAAACAGTTTGGACAATTTTAAACAAACATATGACTATTTTTATCATAGAAATTTTCTTTTCTTTTTCAATAAAAAATTTGTGTGTATTCACACAAGGGTGAAGTAAATTTCAAGTTCGTTGAACTCAAAAAGTCGCGCTTTACTGGTAAGAGAATAAGATATGCTTCCATTTCCATCATTGGCATTTTGCCAAAATTGTCTCTCGTGACTTTGGATTCCTCTTAAAGTGCGTGTGCGTTCCCCTTGTTTTTTTTTTTGGGGGGGAAGAAACAAAATTTTATGCAAAGTTTACGAAAAATTTTAATCAACAGTCTACGAATTGTTTATAATACGAAAATGGAACAATTTTCTTTTCATTTGGTATTTCCGCAGGTTTCAAAGATTTTATTATTAAAAACAAAATCAAATAAAAAAAAATGCCACAAAATTAGATATCAATAAAAAAGTGTCCAAAGATTTGAATCTTTGGACACTTTTTTTATTGATATCTAATTTTGTGGATTTTTTTCGATCACTTAATCACTGAATTTTCGAGTTTTTGAAAAACGGAAAAAATTACAAAATTCGAAAATTGTTAAAAGTTAAATTTGCTAATTTTGACTTTAATTTAATTTAATCAAAAAATTAGAATTGGCACATTTTCCACTAGTCAAACAGGAAGTAAAAAAAGGAAAAATAGGAAGTTTACTTTTCATTTCAATTTATAGAAGCAAATACTCTCGAAAGTTTCAGTGTAAGTTTCCTTTAAGACGTTCAGTGACATAACAAGGGGGGCAAGCAGAAAAAGCAAAAAAAAAAAGAAAAAAAAATTTCTCGTAGCGTCTTTCCGAAACGGAGTGAAAGTGAATCCAATTACAAGCGTAGGTACATACTTGTTCGTAAAACTTATTGCAAGGAAGGTATATAACCTTCGACAAGAAACGAAGAAATAGTCGCCCGCGACTGCTATTCAAGCATTCCCATATTTGTAACGAGGCCGGCCAGTGCGAGAGAGATGAATCCGAAAGTAGACACGAAAAAAAAAATCAACAAGACATTTGCCTAGGCGTTTTTAATACTAGATTCGCAGCACACTTTACTGCCATCAATGGCACATAATTGCATTCACACTTTTTTCATCTTTTCAAGAACACACAATTAAAAAAATTAAAAAAAAAAAAATAGGAAAAAGGAGTTTTTATTGAAAAATATTCTACAAAATGTTTTTTTCGAACCAAATGTAGGTACACTGCAAAATATTTTTTTAACATAATATATTTTTAATACATTTTGTTAAAGAGAAAATTTACTTTAAAAATAAATTTTCCAACAAAGAATATTTTGAATACATTTTCCAAAATAAAAAAAATACATTAAAAATATTTATTCGAGCAAATTAAAACATTTTCCAATTTTTAGAACATTTTCCAAAAAAGAAAATTTACTTTAAAAATATTTATTCGAGCAAAATATATTTTTAGAACATTTTCCAAAAAAGGAAATTTACTTTAAAAATATTTTCTAAAGAAAATATATTTTTAGTACATTTTTCTAAAAACAAAATATATTAATAAATGTTTTTTCAAGAAAAAAAATGTTTTCTACAAAACATTTATATCAACATAAAATATATTGACAGATAATTGTTACAAAAGAAAGTTCTATTTCTAAATATTATGTTTGAAAAAATATATTCTACAGAATATTTTCTCCAACAAAATATATTTTTAATTTTAATTTACATTTTGCCAAAAAGAAAATTTACTTTGAAATTCTCCGACAAAAAATATTTTGAATTAATTTTCGAAAAAGAAAATATATTTTTACAAAATGTTTTTCCAACAAGAAAATACAAATGTAAAATAATTTTTCTTTCAAAAAATATTGGAAATGTTTTTTTCAAACAGGAAATGTACTTTAAAAAAAATTTTACCCAATTTTTCCTCCACTAAAAAATATTTTTTAATAGAATTTTCTAAAAAGAAAATATACTTTAATAATAATTTTCTAAACAAAATATATTTTTAGAATATTTTTCCAAAAGAAAACATTTTTACTAAATGATTTTCAAAGAAAGAAAAAATATTTTTACTAAATGATCTTCTAAAAAATAAAACATATTTTTTCATATTTTACTAGAAAGAAAATGTACTTTTGAAAATATTATAATTTTAGTAAATTTTTCCAAAAAGTATTTTCTTTGTAAAATATATTTTGCAAAATATTTTTCTATTCGAAAAAGAAATATATTTGTCCAGACAGAAGATATATCGTTACTAAATGTTTTTCTAAAAAGAAAATATACTTTAATTATCATTTTTCCACAAAAAAAAATTTTTTACTGCATTTTTCAAAAAAGAAAAGTACTTTGAAAATAATTATTATTCAATTTTACCAAAAAAATTTTCCAAACATTTTTTAATACAATTTTCCAAAAAGAAAATATGCTTTAAAAATAATTTTCTAAAAAAAATTTTTAGTATATTTTTATAAAAATAAAACAAAATTTTACTAAATGAATTTCCAAAAAAGAACATGTATTTTAGAGAATGTATTTTCAGTCAATTTTCACAAAAAGAATTTTCTTTATAAAATATTTAATTTCTTTTTGGAAAAATATATTTCATAAAATATTTTTCTATTCAAAAGGTTTTGCAAAATGAGTTTTCCTTTTGGAAAAGTTCATTTACATAATATTTGTCTCTTTGGAAAAATATATTTTACAAAATATTTTTTCAAATAGAAAATAATTTCAGTGTGTTTTTCCTAAAAGAAAATGGGTTTTTTGTGTAAATTTTTCCAAACAAAATATATTTTTCAAAAAAAAATTTCCAATCGAGAAATATAATAAGGAAAATATTTTTTAAATAGAAAATATTTTTCAAATAGAAAATATTTTTTAAAAAGAAACACTTCTTTTCTATCACAAAACAGTTCATTAAAAAAATTCCGCCAAAAAAGTGAAACAGACGTCGGATAAAAATTTCAAAGACAATTTAGCAAATTCTTTTTT